AAGGAAAAGGAAGGAAAAGGAAGGAAAAGGAAGGAAAAGGAAGGAAACATGCACCAATAGTTTGTTTTTGTTGTGTCTCGTTTCTCACAACTAGAAAAGAAAAAAAGAACAGGAAAGTGCAACGGGATGATCAGAATCATTTCATGTTGTCCTGTACACTGTTGGAACGATCCAGGGCTGGCCTCATCCTGGCTGCGAACACAACACGGCGAATCAGGTAAGTTCTCCTAGTAGCGCTCTTGCTCCTAGCAGTAAGGCCAGGAGCCCATAGTAGCTTCTTGTTCCTAGTAGCGATGCCAGGAGCCCCTAGTAGCGCTCTTGCTCTTAGCTTTCTTTAGGACAATTGCATGCTTTCACTGCCAGTCACCCTGTCTCTTGCACTTCTTATCTCTAAACGACTTGGTGGAGCCATCCAGTTCCATCAAGAAAACAACCAAAAAACAATTGAGTCACAAAATCGATGGATGTCTGTATTTCTTTTGGTGCCCACAGGGTCTCATGTGTTTCTATCTCTCGATGGCCTCCAACCTACTAGAGTGTGTGTCTTTGTTTTTGCTCCTAGTAGCGATGCCAGGAGCCCCTAGTAGCGTCCTTGCTCCTAGTAGCGATGCCCTTTGTTCCTAGTAGCTTCTTGCTCCTACTAAGTATGGCCAGGAGCCCCTATTGAGTCGCTCTTGATGTTCACCAAGTCGTCGCCTCCATGAGGCAGCTTCCTCATCTTCCGCCTTCACCCGCCTGGAGCCGTGCGCAGCCCGTGCTCCGATGCTTAGTCTGTAATTGAATTAACTACAATATACATATATATATATAATATGTATTCCACTCTTGAGCTGAGACACTGCTCCAAGCTAAAGATCCAGTCGACCAAAGGAGAGTCGACGTGTTGGCCTTGAGATCAGCTCAAATAAGGGACCCAAAATCAATCTAACGCGCTTGTGGGCCACTTCATTCCAAGTCCTTCAGGATGCTTGCAGTTGTACTAGGTCTATTTACTTCACGGATGTACTGCAAATGGCGCACTCCGACAGCTTTTTTGGCAATCATGCGATTCCATCTCCAAAAATTGGCTAATCAGGCCCTCGTAAAGGATGATTTACGTGAGACATACATACATACCGTCACAAATTGCAAGGGAATCACCTGTTGCAAACTGAACGTTTTTGTAAGTGCCATAAACCCTCCAAGAAACGCTATTGGGTGATCACTTGAAGTTCGTGAACGACAAAGAATTTAGCAGAAAAAAATTACATGTAATCACCGGTCGTCAAGGTTAGTCATGCTCCTTACCTTTTCCGGCCTGTTTATCCACGTCCTTTATACTTTTCCCGGACCACTGTGTTGACCCCTGGCAGCATGGATTACATACTGCAAGATTGGGATCCTTTATGAAGCTGGTTACCACGAAAGACTAGCGATTTGTTACTAGTAGCTTCTTGCTCCTAGCAGTAAGGCCAGGAGCTACTAGTAGCGTTCTTGCTCCTAGTAGCGATGCCAGGAGCCCCTAGTAGCTTCTTGCTACTAGTAGTAATGCCCTTGTTCCTAGTAGCGATGCCCTTTGTTATTAGTAGCTTCTTGTTCCTACATGCGTCGCTATCTTTCTTCGACATGGTTTTCGTGAATATGAAGGCCGACAAATACACCTTGGCTGCGTTGCACCTCCTTGCCTAGATCCAACGACGAGAGCAATTCTTGATCACCGATCCAGGGTTTGGATTACCAAGCGACGTGCCCAGTGCTCAAACTTCTCGTAGTTCACGACAGAGTGGCCAGCCAGCAGCTCCTGTGTTGGAGATGTCCGATGTCCAGAACATTATATGCTTATCAGAGTTTCAGGTATACTGTCAGGTGTTCCTTCTTTCAACGGCTTCAGACTAGTCATTCTGCTAATTCTTTTCTACTCGCTCGAATGACCGTACGCAGCGACCGCAAAATAGGCATCGTTTCTGACAAAAATAGGAAATAGACGGGCTTATATTAATCTATTTTGTATGTCTTCGTGACTTTCATTAGTTTTGCATAGGTTTGCACCGTGATTTGCACCTTTAGAATCTTTGGACCTGTCCTTTTTCCTTCAGCCATGCTTGCATCGCCCCTCGCCTTCAGAGCGCTGTTCACCGCGGCTTCGGCGGTTTCGCGGCCACGGCCGTCGCTCAAGGCGTGGGCGAAGCGCTTCAGGTCTCGGTCCGACCTCGACCGCAGCGAAACGGAGACATCTCTGAAGTCGGAAGAAGCAACGGCCTCCAACCTAGAAGCGATCACCTCCAACCTAACAGCGAACACCTCCAACCTACTAGTGATTGCCTCCGATCCCAACAATTTGCTGCGCGGCTGCACGCGATCCAAGCCACAGCCGCTGATCTTTGTCAGTGTCATAGACCATAAAGAGCAGTCGCAGCTTCTGCTCTGGCCTGGCTTGGACCGCGAAGCGGTCGATGTCTTACAGATCGCCGCCGGCCCCATTCCCGGCCTGCCCTTCCAAATCACTGCCACACCACATACGAATTGCTGCACCTGAACTCACAGAACCTAACTGGTTTGATGATCGTTTTGACAAATCGATTTTTCTTTTCTTATACATAATTTTATATACATTATATATATATATATGATTTGAAACACGGCACAGAATCAAAAAATGCACTGATATGATATGACGCGATACTTCGTCCCGGAAGCCATGGCACATCCAAGGTTCCCGAGGAGTTTGAGTCGAAGCAGTTGAAAAGCGCTTCTGCCAATGCCTTGGGTAAGCAACCCGCCACGTAGGAACCCAAAAGATTATTCAAAACATTCATGTATAAAAATAAAGAAAGTAAAAAATACAATACTATATTTGCAATCTTTGGCAGAAGTCCCTGCCTCAGGCACCGGGCCAGCGCAGTTGAGGAAACCCGTGCGGAACTCCGATGGGCGGAGCCTCAAAGCCGCTTCAAAAAATCCGCGGCCAACACACCAAAACCATCATGAAACATCACGCCTCCAACCTAAGAGTGATGGCCTCCACCCTAGTAGCGATGGCCTCCAACCTAAGAGTGATGGCCTCCAACCTAGTAGCGTATTTCGGGGTATGGTCCGTATGTGTGTACATGTATGTGGATGTATCTGTGGATGTGTCTGTCTTACGGAGCCAAACTCATAGATTCCTAGTAGTAGGAATGCTCCTAGTAGCAATGCCAGGAGCCCCTAGTAGCGATCATTGCTGCTAGTAGTAAGGCCAGGAGCCCCTAGTAGCTTCTTGTTACTAGTAGCAATGCATTAGCAAACATGTACACAAAAGGCCGTAAGAGGATGAGGACAACACTCTTATTCAGAACTTCTTCGTAGACTGTGACCGCTATCAGGTGCTCTTCAAAACGTGTGATATCCAGTGTCTTCAGGCCATGATTTGCGTCTACATGTTTGCATTTTGGAGGAGTCTAAGGCAATTGATCGTGAAACGTCCAGGTTTGCAATGTCTCCAGCCCGGTGGCTCTCCACGCACTGACAGGCGATTGAAGCCTTCCTCGATCTTTGCCACCTCTTCGCTGCCCAAAGCGGCCACCTGAGACGATTTGAGACAATCGAAGGAGTTGAAAACAACTTTTCACAACTCTTTCGATGTCCAAGTTGCTGCTTCTTCATAGTCAAAGAGCTGCCTAGAAGGACCACCTCCCATGCTGCATGGCCGCCCATATGAGCGCTCAAAGGTTTGGAGCTTGAATTGGCTGGAGAAGAATACCACACTTTAGCCACTTAAGAAGGGGCTCCTGGCCTTACTACTAGGAACCAGAAGCTACTAGGGGCTCCTGGCATCGCTACTAGGAACAAGGACGCTGCACTTAAGAACAAAGACCATCGTCTGTAGGTTTCAGGGCAAATCGGGTCTGGCTCAATGCAGTGCATCGCTAAGGTGAGAGAATGCACTTCTTCGGCTGTTCCAGCGCAGTCGAAAAAATGGCTGAGAGCTCAGAAAGGCAAAGACTCTGAGAGTGTCCAAAGCTTGGTCAGCAAATCCACAAAAACCCACCATGCCAGCTCTCCAACTTTGGTGCAAAAATGTGCAAAGGAGATTACACGTTGAAACATGCTGACAAGGAAGAATATCAAGTTAACCAGGCCAGCACCAAACACAGAGCCGCGGCTTGATCTTGCTTAAAACATGCTGAGGCTTTGAACAAAAACGGTTCGACCAATGGTTTTCCAGACTCCACAGGCATGACAAGTAAATGCTCTGGGCGTGCGCCATCATCATCTTTTTGGCCACTGCATTGGCCGCTGCACGCACCCAGCGGCAGCTTATTCTGTGCGCACCTCAAGACCAACTGGCGGCAACATGTGAGTCACTCTGTCTCCGCTGTAGGTAGACCTTCGGATATTGAGGTCGAATGTAAGGTAGAAAATCAAATAGGTGCCTCTAGGACGCTAGTAGGAGCAAAGGGCATTGCTACTAGGAGCAAGGACGCTACTAGGGCTGCTGACATTGCTACTAGGAACAAAGGACGCTCCTAGGTCTCCCTCTCTCTCTTCCCATCTCTCTCTCTCTCTCCCCCTCTCTCTCTCTCTCTCTCTCTCTCTCTCTCTCTCTTTTTAAGAGTTTCAACATTTGGATCTTCCACCAAGCGAGAACTGTGGAAAGTTGAGAGGCCAACCACCAAGTCCTCGTCGTCACTTGACTGATCCTCGAACATAGCGTCATAGGCCTTGCAAGCGTCGTCACATTAGTTAAGCTGCTAAGCTTCCCTTAAGTTCTAAGAACCAAATCCATCAGTGCGAGCGCTATCCTGCGTTCAGTAGGTAGTAGCTCCCTTACTTCATTAAGTAGGCGCCTTCTTGATTAAGCAAGGGCGGGCTTGAAAAAAAAGTATGTTTTTCAACATGGGTCACAAGTAGCGATGCCAAGAGCCCCTAGTAGCGAACATTGCTCCTAGTAGTAAGGAGCCCCTAGTAGCTTCTTTGCTCCTAGTGTCACAGTCGTCTTGCTTAGTCTTGCACCTGCTGGATCTCAGGTATCTCTGCGGACTGCTCAGCCTGTGATGGATCGTTCGAGATTGGAATGCGCGTTCGAAGAGAAATTGATATCTCTCTTCACCGAGTTCTTGCCGTTTGACTAAAACCAGTCGTTGTGGGAGAAAGGCATTCGACGGGGGTGGTTAACCGTACGCCGCAGCGGTGCATCCGGTTCCCTTCGGTCCCCGCCTCTTCAGCCTCAGGGGGCACCTCAGGCGCCTCGGGCGCGCCTGGTACAGCGGCTGGTGCAGCGACTGGTGCAGCGACTGGTGCCTCCCAAATGCACGCATCACCCTACTAGCGATGCCCTTTGTTCCGGTCGTAGCTTCTTGCTCCTAGTAGTAAGGTCAGGAGCCCCTAATAGCGTCCTTGCTCCTAGTAGCGATGGCCTCCAACCTACTAGCGATATCACATGGTCATCACATGGTCATGACATGGTCATGTTGTGAAGTGCGAGTTCGCCAAAGCATGGACCATTCATGCAAGTGTCCAGGTCCACGACAGGTGGAAACGTTCGGCAGCTGGACTTGCTTCTGACAATACCCTTTCTGACGCTCGAGGCTTCTGACGCTCGAGGCTTCTTCCCCACCTCCACTGTTGGAGTTGCCCGAGATTCAACGGGTTCATGGCCTGGACGGATGGAAATTGAAAGAAGCTCCTAGTAGCGTCATTGCTCCTAGTAGCGATGCCCTGTGTTCCTAGTAGCGTCCTCTACCCTGAAAATCATTCAGGTAATGCGCAAACAAAATATATGATATACATGGCTGTGGCAAGCAAGAGGAAGCACCATCGGCCTGCTGTATTTCGACCAACATCTATTGATGACAAAGGATATCCCAAAACTCCAAAACAAGTCTGGAAGTCAAGTCTCTCGCGTCTCTGGGCCATCCAGGTTTTGGGGCGCAACGCCACACCTGGCAAACAACTGTCAACCATGCATGAAAGTGCCAAAACTCTAAGTCTCGGTAGCGTCCTTGTTCCTAGTAGTAAGGCCAGGAGCCCCTAGTAGCGTCCTCATTATTGACGTTATTTGATTCAGAGAATTCACAATTTGCTGTCGCGCTTTTGCTCTTTGGGTTCTTCGGTGTCCAATTCGGTCTGCAATCCTCGCAGCTTCAGTGGCACCCTGTGGACCTTGACCAGGAGACCCTAGTAGCGCCCTTGCTCCTAGTAGCGATGCCCTTTGTTCCTAGTAGCTTCTTGCTCCTAGTAGTAAGGCCAGGAGCCCCTAGTAGCGTCCTTGCTCCTAGTAGCGTCACCCTCTGTTTCTAGTAGCTTCTTGCTCCTAGTAGTATGACCAGGAGCCCCTAGTAGCGCCCTTGCTCCTAGCGATGCCCTTTGTTCCTAGTAGCTTCTTGCTCCTAGTAATAAGGCCAGGAACCCCTAGTAGCGCCCTTGCTCCTAATAGCGACGCCCTTTGTTCCTAGTAGTTTCTTGCTCCTAGTAGTAAGGCCAGGAGCCCCTATAGTAGCGTCCTTGCTCCTATAAACAAAAGGTCTGCCAGGTTCGGCCCCTTCCATGAATTTTGAGCATCACCGCCCTCCATTCTTTGGTCCATAGGGTCAAAAGACACAAAGTCATACTGTAAGTACATCAATGACTCAACCATTGCAAATCAACTTTTAACAACACAAAGTATGTTGATTTCGCGCTGCATGATAGTATCTGTAGGTACATGTATGTGTACATATATACATATACATATACATATACATATATACATATACAGAGAGAAAGAGAGATGAGATATGTATGTATCTGTGTATGCATGCGCATGTTTGTTTGGTTGTTTGTTTGTATGTTTGTATGTATGTATGTGTTTTCTTCTAAAGTGTGCTGGTCGCCGTTTTGGCGGTTCCCTAGCCTTTGTGGCTCAGTTTGCGGCCTTGCCCTCAGAAGAAATCCACCTCGTAGTCGTGCTCGGGAGTGCTCTCTTCAGCACCTTCTGTTCCATCTGAGACTGGGCTCGGTTTAGGGGCCTCTGGTGGCGAGGGTCCTTCTTCCGGCACCGTCAGCCGGTCTGGAGGCAGTGGTACGGGCTGGGTGTCATGGCCTGTTGTACTCTGACTGGTCTTGCGCTGACTGAAAAGCTGCACCAATGTTGGTGAGGCTTGTGACTGCCCGTGGCATGCCTTCTTGAGGCTCTTGGTCTACATGACCCTATCGGCCTGATCAAGATGGCTTCGTGTGCCACATTTGATGCACTTGATGCCTTTGCCTTTCTGCCACAGTTGGTGCGTGGCGTGGGCCTCGTGAGCTTTGCTATAGGCTTCGTCTATGCAGCGGCTGCGGATGAAGGCGGCGAAAATGCCTTCGTTGGCACGTTTGTGTACCGAGAGGTTGCATTTGCTGCATTTGAGGTAGCCTGTCGTTTCTTGGTATGCGTGCTCATCAGCTGCCGTTGGATGCTGGTTCTGAACGGCAATGATGCTGGCCCTGGTGGTTTTTTCCCCAACTGCCCTGGTAACCGGAAGGTCAGGCTCAGGAGCTTCATGTTCCAGGAGCTCGCAACTTTCATTGAGTCTCTGCTCTATGGTTTCTGTGGTCAGCCCTTGGTGGACTCGTACTTGGCAAGTATGGCACTGAAACCCACTGCGGTGTGGTTTCCATTGGTGATGGCCCTGCTTCCATGCATTGCGGCATTGTTGGATGAGTCGTTTTTTGTATTGTTTTGTGGTGTGTCCTGCTCTCCGGACTGGCTTCTCATGGATGTAGTGCTGGCGATCTTTGTAGATCTTCTCCAGCCTGGCTGCAGCGTGCTGATACACTTGCAAGTGGTCTTGGTCTAGGGTCCACTGCCATGCTTCTGCTTCTGAGTCATACATGGTGTTGGCTCGCTCGTAGGCTGCCAGAGCTGCATCCCCTTGTCTTTGGCGTAGGTGTGGTTCGCTGCCTGGTGCATCAGGGGTCCTTTGATTTCGGTGGATGTACAAAGGCGTGATGCGGCTGAACAGCTCATCAGGGAAGCCCTGGAGCAGGTCATGGAAACCTTTGCGTTTCTTAGGGTTGGTCCATGGCCCTTGAAACAGAGCCCGGGCTTTTGTCTGCGGTCCAGCTGGCATTCCAGCGATGGTCCCTTTTCTGACCAGTGTTCCAAGCGAAAAGGTGTGTATGCAGAGCCCGAAAATTCCATGCCTGTGCTCTCTTGTCGTAGGAGCTGGGCGTGGCATCGAGGGTCACTGCCAACCCTTGCCATGGTTGTAGTTCAAGTGGTTCCAAGGTTTGCCAACAACCATGTCCTTGGAGGGGCAGAGGGTTGGTCAATTGGTCTTGTGGTTCTTTTGGAATCCAGCCATAGCTCCACAAAGGTTCATGACAAGTTCAATCTCCTGCTTGATCAATGCATAGGATGTCGAACGACTCTTGTTCAACAAAAGATGTTTCTCCAAATCTGGGAGTACCAACATCTCCAATGAAGCGGACTTGATATCGTCCGATAAGGTCTCTCTAGACCCTGAAGCGTTTCGCCGGGCTTCGTACCTCCTGATCAGCTGATGGCTGGCCTCATGGCGGTCCAAGTTTTGACCCGCTCTGGCTGGAGGATAGCCCTGAGGATGTTTCTCTTTCTTCCCGAAGTACGGGGATCCCGTCGTCGGTGGACTCTTCGGTATGCCTCAAAGCCATTTGAGGCTCCTACCGTGAGATCTTCGGTTTCGCCGGAAGTGAGAGTCAGGAGGACGCGATGAATTTGGTCCGCTTTGTCTTCTAAGTTGTCAATGGCTGCTATGGTACCAGCCCCAAATGCGGACTCCGTATGACTCATTTCAATCGCGTCTTCCTGCTCCAAGATGTCCTCGAGGATCTCTATGAACTCTCTCCCAAAGGTAATTACAAACAGGTTGTCTATGCTCCTAGCCCACTTTCGGAATTCCCCTTCAACATTACCGAAACTCTCAGGGCGTCCCAATCCTTTTGTATCCATAACTATTTGGGACTTCCGTTGATCCTCCTTTCTCTCAAGGCTCTTTGCCAGCTCTCCCACTCCCACTGCTGAAGCCAACATGGTTACCCCTCCTTGCGACTCTCGTAACACCTGGTTCTCTTGTTCCAAACGCGCCTGGTTTTGCTGGAGCTGCAAAACCAGGTCAGACAACTGTTGAACCTGTTGTTCCAAAACCCAGTCTCAACCCCCTGAAGGCGCTGCTCTCGCACCTTTTCAGCTGCGGACGGATCGTCCGATCTCCGGCCCCTTACCAGGCCGGTCCCAGGGCTTTCACCCTTGGGAACGCTCAGAAGAAGGTTTCGGGATCTCGCGGACCTCTGAAGTGGTCCGGGCTCCCGTAGAGGTCAACTCCTCTGGATTGCGGCCGATTGCAGGTGCTGCTTCGCAACTTTTTCTTTTGCTTTGGCACTTGCTCCAAGCCTTGCTGGACCTTTCAATCCCCTCTTCTTGATATAGGCCTGGACGGCAGGAAGCTGTGCCCTTTTGCGCTCGTCGCAGCTGCTGCAAGCTTCGAAGGAACCAAGCTTGCCCTGCTCGTTGGGAGTCTTCCAAAGCTCCCTGATTGCGGCAAGCGCCACTGAGCCCTTCAAGCCAAGCCCCTCTGCTCCACCAGCTCGTCAGCTGCTATCTTCCTTACCTGGAAGGGACTTTCCAACTTCCAGTTCTCGATGCGCTGATTCTGAGCTCGTTGATTTGCCAAGGCGACGATTCGGAGATTGAGCTCCAAAGCCCGGCCCCAAACCGCTCTGCCGCGATTTGTATCGTGGGTCTGAGGCTGACCCTTCTGGAGCCCGAGGCTGTCGCACAGGACTGCGACTCCTCGCCCTCAATCTCACTTTGGAGGACTCTTCTCGCTGAGCACTCTTCAATCGAACGCCGGAAGTCTCCTCTTCTTCTTCCGGTAGGCTCAACGACTCCTCTTCTTCTTCGACCTCACCGGCTGGATCAGCCGCTTCACCCTGCTCGTTCTTTGGGACCTGACCGTACCTGATTCGCTTTTCCTTGTGGCGGACCTTTTGCTCTTCCCGCTCAAGCTTGATCTCCTGCTTTGGGCGCTCCTTGCCAAAATCTTTGATGCGCCTCCTCAGGTCTTCTGTGACAACACCCTGTCTCTTTTGCAGCCTGACCAGATCCTTGAGCCTCCGATATTGCAGCGAAACCCTGCTTCGGAGTCTGAATCCGGACTTTGGCTGACTTGGCCTGGCCCCAAATTTGCTTCTTCACCTGCTTCCTCCACGGTGCCTCGGGATATGCCTTGGTTGGGGTGAACTTTGTATCAGTACCACGAACCTCCCAACCTGTCTGAACCCCTTCTTGACTTGCGACGACGTCGGCGATGATTCGACCCCCTTGAATACCTGGTCGCCGATCGGCTGGATCAGCCTTCTGGGTCAACTGCTGGGTCGACTGCTGGATCTTGCTCAGGCTCTTCCTCCTCCTGTGGTCCTTCCACTTCTTGTTCCTTTTCCTCTTTGGTCTCTGCGGTCTGATCGACCGCTGAAGTGGAATCTGCGGCTGGATCTGCCGCTTCGGTGGACTCTGTTGGCAAAGGTTGTTCGGGCAAAGGCTCTCCTCCTCTTTTACTCCTTCTTCTTCCTCTATACCAACTGGGGCGGCAGAAGCTGCCGCTCCCGATGGTTCCAGCTCCTCCTCGGGGCTCTCAACTTCCTTGCGTCTCTCTTCCTTTATGCGCAGCGCTTTGTCCCTGTCACTCTCGCCGGACTCGTGCGCTACCATGAAAACGCGGTTTCGACGTTTCGGAACGCCTTTTCACCTTGAGCCAAAACACGTCATAAGTCACGTGTCTGCAGTGCCCTAGCAGAGTATTTATGGGCTGTACATGCAAACATTTGAGCGTAATATGCTAGAATGTAAATATATATATATACACACATATATATATATATTATACGTGAGGATTGGGATGATGATTTTCAACACGCGCCTCAAAAAAGCACAGCTTACCTGGTGTTCCTCTTGCCAAAGACGGGCCCAAGCGTTGAAGACCATCGCCAGGACTATATAGCGCAATGCCTAGCCAGAAAGAAGGCATAAGAAACTTTCAAATTGACTAAGAACGCGCGGCGCTGTGCAAGACAACCGGGTGGTTGGGCGGCTCAGGCTCATCACCGTCATTGACGCCGCCAACCATGATGAAAAGCAAAGGCAAAAGCGAAAGCAAGCAAACCATGACACAAACTGCTCAGAAGGAAACCACCTAAACAAACGAGTCACAAGCCAGCTGAAAGCGAGTCAGAATGGTGAGAACAAACAAAACAAGCGACTGGTGCAAGAAAGCAAAAAGCAGGTATGCCAGTTCACTTGCAAGCAGGTCTTTTCCATTGAGGGAGTAGGTCTTAAGCAGTCTTGAGAAGACTTGCCGCTCGGTCAGCAGTTAGTTGTGGATCAATCTTCTAGCTAGTGGTGGGACCATGCCATGGAGATTCGAAGACAATGAGATGAGCGCTACAGATGATTCAAAAGAATCCGATTCTGAAGACGAGGAGTGGATTGGATTTGAATTTGCTTTTTGTTATAGGGTTCCACTACATATCAAATGGCAGGACTCCACTACATATATCAGTGCCCACCAACGTCGGTACCTGGCTGTGGGG